AGAATTCAGGAGTCTCGAACCTGAACTATTTTATTTAACACACATCTTAAAAATAATAAACATTAGTGGGACACTCAAAAAACAATGTAATGACATCCATATGAATATATGTATTGATGTATGGTTACTAAAATATCATAACTATCATAATTTTAAACTATTTTCTTTTTTAATTATTATTATTTATATACATGCATTTGTATATAATTATGATTAATTTTTAAAATGTATTATTCATTCATATAGATACTAGTAACAAATCTTTTACTTAGTGACAATGTGGGACAACTTACTACTTTGCCCTCCCCGCTGTTCATCAGATCATGTGCCTTTCTGAAGCGTTTAATGGGGCACTTCATGCGCTCTAGCAGTAAACGCTCCCAAACAATGGCTCCTGCCACAGGAGGATGATTTTTATTCAAAGGTGGATTATCCTGGTGTTTCATAAATATGTCATTTAGAAGGTCCATCTAGGCAACAAACGACACCAAAGAAGACACTTAAGAACAGCAAGAAATGCAATATTTGTATCACCACGACAACATTTCAAAATCCAACATGTCCTAGGTTTTTTAGTATGCAGGTCATGAGGCACCTCTTTGCAGTACTGAGCAAGAATATCATTAAACTTCTTCATCAACTGATTGTTGATGGCATCTCTAGAGCGGATGTGCTTGAATTTCAGCAGCAGGTCAAAGGCTGCAGATGAAGAACGCAGCGTCTTGAAGGAGTGATCAATGAAAGTGATAGCTTCCTTTTCAATGGCCTTAATAAAAACAGAGCATTTAATACACAAAAAATGTCACAGGAGGAAAACAAATGAACACTGACAATATAGTTCCTGCAAGATTTGTACCTGGACGGCAGTTTTAAAATCTTGGATGGTCATTTTCCAACTGCTCATTTTGCGGATGTCAAAAGGGTCAAAGGTAAGTTCCTCAACGGGTTCGACGAGGCAGTTTACACGGTGTAAAACATCATCTATTCGCTTTGGATCACCCGTCACTGCTTTTAACTCTGGTCCAAAGATAATGTAGAACTCATCCAGAGTCTATCAGAGAAAATCAATTTGTGAGAAGGTAACTGTCTCTGAGGAAAAATGTCTTCATGTAAAGTTGATAGTAACTGAAATATGCTTAATCTAATTTGGCAAACCTGCAAAATGTTATATAAGTCCTGGCAGACTGAAGCCATGTAGTCTGTCTTTTCAAACAGCTTTTTGCGATTGAATTCCCAGCGGGGATCACGGTCTGATTTCTCAATCAGTGCACGGACCTCAAAGTAACTGGCCTTCCACCGTTCCAAGACTTGCTTTCCATCCTGAACTTTGGCTTTGGCCACCACTCTCTTGTCTCTGCATTATATCAATGAATGTGGAAATTACAATCATAATAAATTAACATAAGGTAATATTATGTGGAACTTCTAAATTGATTAAACATTTAATAAAAAAAGTGTACGCCTTATTTAGTTTTTTTCCGCATCAAACAAAAGTCACTTCAAATGCAACATTTTCAATTTTTTGTGCTGGCTTGTGGTTACTCACTTAAATAGAACACGGACATTTACGACTCTCGCAACCCGTTCAGATAGTTCCCAGGCAATACGTTCCATCAAAGATTCCAAACGCTCATCTATGCTGTAATGCCTGGATAATATCCAGATCAATCGCAGCCCGTTCATCAACTGAGGAATAGTGTCCAAGACCACTTTGAAATCCAGTCCTGTGACAAGGTTCTGTAAAAAATAAAACATTGATGAGAAACTATATATTTTTGAGCCACGATCCTCTGCTGGTGGGGGACCATGGAGAATTCTGAAATGATCTTATTTACTCACCCCCATGGCATTCCAAAAGAGAAAAAATATTAACATACAGGTTCAGAACGATAAAGAGATTACTAAGTAATGATTTTGTTATTAGGATGCTTTGTTGTACTTGTAATTCTACTTGAAAACGGAAAATACTGATTCCCACTTCTCACCCTGAAGTGTCTCTCCATTGTGGTGAGGAATTGTACATTACTGGAAGACTCCTCATGGTATTTTCTAAGCTCAGATGTAGTCTTTTCCAGCTCCTGCATTATGAATGAGTCAGCATGGGTCATCACATCCAAAATCTTCTTCACCACTGGCAGGTTCAGCTGCTCACTCAAACTACTCAAGACTGCCAAACGGTCACGCCAGAACTCAATCTCTGCCAAAGGACCAGGTCCCTTCAGTAGTGAAAAAACAGTCAGTCAGTTAATCCTTTAAATGATCTGTTTAGGTTAGAGTAGAAAACGTCCATCTTGATTAATTCACTTGAAACATTACAAACCTGTGGTTGCTTAGCTTTCTGCTCTTCAATGACAATAGTGATTTGTGTGTGCCAATTCATCACACACTGCTCAAGTTTGTCCACCATCCCTGGATCAGACATGAGTGTCTCCACTTCTCCCTCCAAATCAAGATCTGGAATGTGAAATTTAAACTCACCTAAAACACAGAGATCAAAATGTTAAGCAGTGTTTTCAACATTGATAATAATAAGAAATGTTTCTTGAGCACCAGATCAACATATTAGAATGGTTTCTGAAGGAAAACACTGAAAACTGGATAATGGCTGCTAAAAATTCAACCTTGCCATCACATGAATAAATGACATATTATATAATATAATGATATTATTTTAATTGTAATCTGCATATTTCACAATGACATATTTTTGATTGTAAATTAAGCTTTGGTGAGCATAAGATAGTTCTTTCAAAAATTTTGAAAAACTAGCATACCTTCAATCTGCAGTAAGGTTTGGTCTATGACCTGCAAGAATTTATGTGTGCTGTGGAGAAGATCGTCTCGGACCTCAAAAGCTCCACGGGATTCCGCAGGCTGCTGTTTCTCTTGAGAGTCTTGAGAGCCAGCAACACCATAATAGCCACCATCAGTGACCCTGAGCTGGTTCACTGAGAGAAGAGGAACATACACCTGCAAGGAACGAGCTCAGTGTAGATAGTTCCATGGTATAATTAAAGATAAATGAAGAGTAAGAGGTTTAGTCACACACATGGTTGAGAAGCCCTCTAAGCATCATCAAGGGGTTGTCATTCATCATGCCAAACTCAATAAGTTTGGGCATCAAATTATTAGCTTCATGCATGTCCACAGGCTCAATGATGGTTTCTGGATTGAATAAAACATCAGATATATCAGTTAAATATGCAATTTTTGGGAGGCACAAATTGAGAGTACTCCCCCTACCTTTAGTGTTCCTCAGGAAGTAGAGGAAATTGTATTTCTCAAACCTCTTCGGGATATTGTTCACGTCCAAGTGAAGCTCTAGATGATACACAATCTGAACCTCAGTCTTGTGATGGGGGGAAAATGTCAAAGCATCATAAAACAATAATAATAAATAATATTCAAGGTGTGTCATTCTTCTCATAATAAATATTCTCATATAATAAATGAAGAACTACATTGGCAGGTGGTTTATCCACAATTGTTTCCTCTGACAGGCCCTCAACCTCAAGATCCATACTCTGAGAGTCTTCTGGGTTTGAGGACTTCTGGTGCTTTCTTTCTTTAACGTTTCTTCTCTCTTAAGTCATGTGTGAGAGTAATGGAAAAGAAGACAACAGCATCTTAACTTAGTTTGATGAATTTCTTTCTGATCATATTAATGAGGACTGAGGAAGCAGACTCACTTTCAGTAGGGGTTTTCTCTCTATTTGAGAGGAGTGTCTCTTCAGACAAAACAGATAAACTTCTCTCCGAGTCATTCTCCGTGCCTTCTACCGGTTCTTGGTGTGTATGGACTGGGAAATGATGTATCATTAAACACGTAAATTAATGGATACCGTTTTTTTTAAATAGTACACAAGCTTAGTACACAAAATGATAACTGATTTTTAAACTTCAAATTGCAAGCAGTGCACGCGCTTGGAGAAACTGTAGTGCTAACGTTACTGTGATAGTAAACAGATACGTTAGGCATAGTTCAGTTGAAATATAAACGTACCAACAGGAATTTCCACTTCAACCTCTTCTTCTCGTATATTCTTGAAGAAAAAAAGCGTTGATGGCGCCTCTTTCTCTGTGACTATGTTTAAAAAGCTTATGATTTTTTGCTCTTCCTCTCCATCCCCGCGACTGAGTAACTCCTCAAAACAGCCTGAATCAGGCAAATCAAACAGCACACACACTGCGTTTTTAATCCACTCCACTCGAGGGTCATGGTGAGCCATTCTTAGTTGTTTGGATGAGAATAACTACATAATAAAGTTTGAAATGTGCAAGAGAAGACTGTTGAGACTGTCGCGACTCGCAACCGAAAATGCCCTCTGGTTTTAGTTGACGTTGTTATAACAACGAACAGGCACTGCTGGGTTAGTTGCCAGATCACAATTCACAACAAGTGCGGTGCGCTACAAATTTGAATAGTTCACCCATAAATTATCATTTTGTCATCATTTACTCATTTCAAACCTGTATGAGTTTTTTTTTTTATTCTGCTGATCACAAAAGAAGAATAATACGTAGCTTTGATATGTTTTCTTTTTGTGAATATTTTTTGTTTCTCATAATTCATGTAGGCTATGTCGTCTTGTAAAAAGTAGACTTTAATTGTGCACATTTAATAGTGCAAACGTTGGCCGGGTCACCACTTTTACATTTGCTTTTGATACCTTGATACGTTCTTTGCTGCCCAATCTGCTCTTTTTACGTCAGTGTCTGTATTTTTTTTACAGTCTATGGTCTCAACCTCAAAATTTCCACCAGGTGGCGTTTTACCTTCTCGTTTTACAAACTCCAAATTTGATTAAACTCGATATAAAAATGTATTAATTATAATGGTTATTTTAATTCCAATTTCTTATTTTGACTTCATGACGTCTTTGATGCATGTTACACGACACAAATGTGAACTCACATCAAGTCATTATAAAAGCTTTATAAGCATTACAATACAGAAATAAATATGACACATTGAGGAAATAAAAGAATAACAGACATGGTATATTTGCACAAGAAACATTTATTTATTTACACATTTTGTATGTTTCCACATTCAAACAAATCCGATTAAACTCAACAGCTTTGTTTGTAGAGACTCTAAGACATGATGAAATGGGTCAGATCAAGGGCTCAGATTTATCCAGTTTGTGGTTAATATATGGCTTGTCTGACAAAAATCCATGTAAAAGATTTTAAATGAATGCAGCATTCCCTATGCTTGTTACCATTTAAAAATGAAAGTGAAAGCAGAAAAGATGGTGACACCATGGTACCATTTTTGTATCACTCACCACATTTATTTTTAGCCTAATCTTGATAGACTCTTGGCACTCTTGATTGTGCATTTAGTGATTTATGAAACTTCACACTAGTTTAGGCTATTTTAACAAAAGTACTACAAACAAGATTTTCCAGGTGATATTCTGAGGCAATTTTAAACACAACTTCACACATCTTCTTGTCAGCTGGCCTGTCTTAATCTAGCCATCTCCTAGTGCTTCTGTTGATTGTGTGGCTGGGGGTGTTTTTTGACTGTCCTCTCTGCTAAAACTCATTGCCACAGCCACAATTATGCCAATAGCCACTGCAACAACAACTGCCGCTATTATTACTTTGTACTTAATATTCTCCCAGCGCTTCTTCTGTTTCACTTTAGTCGCGGTCTTTGAGAATACTTTGCCCTGAAAACAAATAATACAAAAATTTAAATAACTGAATATGACCAAAATTATATATTTTTTTAAAACATGTAAAATTATGACAAAAAAAGAAGGGTTTTTTTTTTTACATAAAAACTGACTTCAACATTTTGAAACAATAAAGGAGTCTTCATATTAAAAGCAAGAAAAGGAAAAATATGCAGTCTTTGTAAAGGGTTTGAATTGGTTTTTGTTTTCCTTATTTTAATTATAATCTTAGTTTGAACCAGTAACACCAACATTACACATTACACATTCTTGCATGAAACCAAAGTGAACTTGTTGCCTTACCACATGGCACATCCTGCATAAACAGCCTGCCATATTGCACAAGTTTGTGTTCATTTCATAACTAAAGGAAATAGCTTTCTAAAATTAACATGGTAAACTAAAGTCAGGATGCAAATTGTAGACTCTTTTTTTCCGTACACCCCACTAATAATAGACTCCAATATGACATGCCTTGGCTTTCTCTATAAACACTTGAAATTCCGGAAACCCAGTTTATGGTCATCAGAGTCCTTAATGAGTAAAAAAACATGTTCATGGGACCATAGATTGAATAAATAAGCATGCTTTTTTGAAAAGCTGTTTTATGTGATGAATGAAATGATAGTTTATGTTGCTATTATTTAATAAATATCACACAAACTAAGGTTCCACCTGTTCTAGTAGTTGTTCCGCTCTGTTGTCCAGGTCCCCGAGTTTAACTGTTCGCTCGTCAGCCTTCATTAGGTTATCCAGCATGATAACTTTAACTTCCTCCACATTCTCCTGGGCCTGACGGAGGCGGTTTTGCCCATTCTCCTGGTGATAGATGAAATGGTTTGTTAAGAAACAAATATCCAATACAAATCATATATTAGCATCCATACATCTAGAGGTACTAGATTAAATTGAATGTCCCACTAGATATTTAACACAAGAGAAATGCATTCAATAAACCATTAAAAAGCAAAAAAAAAAAAGTGGCAATGAAGACTTCCTAGACACCTCCCATCATTAATATCCTAAGAGTTCTGTTTACTTCAAGCACTGGGAATGAAATTCTGGAACAGTGTCTCTGCTCTCTCACAGTTTAACAAGGAAAAGCACAAGGGAGAGACAGACAAACTGCATTTCTAGAAGCCATCGCATCAAAACCCACAATGAGGCCTTTGTGAAAACAACATGACATAGGGCATTTATAGATTATTTGTGACCTTCCTGACATTAGCAGTCTCTACATTTGTATATCAGCTTATTCAGACTGTTGATTCCTCTCTTTGTGCTCAGAAGGATGCAAGTGACTTGAGGTCAAGGTTTAGTTGATGAGTGGAACATCACAGACGGGAAACTGTCGAGCAAAGATCAATGAAATGATTAATATTCCAGGAAACACCACTTATTTGTCATGCCATCTCACAAAAGAACCATGGACAATGGAACAGTGATCTCAAACGGTGTGTCACAGCTCAAAAGTGGGTTGCAGGGGAAAAAAACAATGGTAAATTCAAATACTAAAAATGAAAATACTAAAAGGCAAATACTAAAAAGGTTTATCAACTTTTAAAAGGGAGGTGAAACACAATATTTTGTTGCTGATGCTGAAGGCTATAGCATCTTTTTTAAATATTAACAGCATGAAATAGATTTGTATCTACTAACAATAATAAACCAATGAATACACCTAAATGTTTGATTTTAATAATATTTGTATAATGTTATCATATTGTTTAAATTGTACACGAAACAGTAAATAAATAAACAACTGTATATGAATTAAAAAATCTAAATGCAGGTGCTAAAGAAAAACACTAATAGACTTATGGATGACGATGTAAACAACCTCAACAAATAAGATTTTAGTAAAATATACGGACGGACGGACGGACGGACGGACGGATGGGCAGGCAGACAGACAGACAGACAGACTGTTCATTTTAGACACCTCTAAAATGAACAGTAGAGCATGTTGAAAATCAGTGTATCTTCACTCATGAACAGAGAACTACAGGATACACATCTCTTTTTACATCCTTTCTTTGCCTTCTTCCTTCCTCTTTCATTGTGACTGTTATAATGAATATGGCATTTCCTTGAGACAAGGCAAAAATCCCCTCTTGTGTTCAAAATAAACACTTGTGATGTTGTCATTTCAAGCCACCTGAGATGAACCAACAATAAGGGTTAAAGACTTTCTGGATGACATTCAAATGACACTAATATGAAAAACAACAACAACAACAACAAAATAAGGTAGGCAGTTTCAGATTCAAACAGCTCATAAATAACTAAATGATAACGTTACTGTAAAACACAACCCGATTCGTATGAGCGCAATATGTGAATTGAGAGCTATAACGTTACATAGCCTGTCAAAAAAATCGCCCAGTAATCAAAATTAAATTTAATTTATAACACTTGCCCGATTTATCGTGGTATATAGGCCTAAGTTACACATAACGAACCAAACTAAACGTGTTTGGACCAAAACTTAAAATGTTTGCAGCGTTTACATCGAATTTGCATTTAACGTTATAACAATTTTTTTGTTTGTTTATAGGTTGTTTATAACAATTTGCTTTTAAAAGTTATTGAGCCTTTACATTGCCATGCTTTTACTTGAATATCTAATCTAATACATAAACAGCGTAAGTGCGAAAACGAAACAAAAAGACAAACAACTTACTGTCATAGTTTTATTCTGTCGCTTTACCACAACGGAAACGGTCACCGAATATGCATCTGAATGAGACACGCTGAAGAGATAAAAATAAAACAAGATCGATATCTATAAAAATGAATGCGAGTGTTTTAGCAAATCGTCCAATCCAAGGCTTTAAAGTTCTGTCTTGCTGCTGTAAAGAACGCCTGTTATCTACTGGGCGGGTAAATCAAACTGCGCAGCCGCAAGGCAGTCTGTGTATGTAAACGCCCCTCTCCTCCTGACTCGCTACACTGTAACTTGTGATATTGTTCTTGGTCATTTGCCAAATGTGCCCTTTAAAATTTAACAGTACTTGTATTAATGCCAGTACTTGCATAATGAATTCACAAAAAGTTCACACAAGTCAAGCTGCCACAAAAAGACGTGTCCGATTCGAAAACATCTTTATCAATCGATTCTTTTTAAAGAATCAGTTAAACCGATTCACAAACCAATCATAATCATAGACAGTAAAGATCATAATAGAAGACTTTTTACAGGGAATCTGATTCTGGAGGGAAAAGTGAGTTGCAGCTGGTGTAAGAAAAACAAGATAAAATCACAGCTGGGGGACAAAACTGGCTTGGGTGTAGGCCTACTTGCTCTTTTTTAACCATTTTTTTTTTATCCAGTTAGAATGTATGGTCAAGTCACCTTTGTTTATAGAGAGTTTACAATACAGATTGTATCAAAGCAGGCTTCACAGGGATAACATTAAAATAATACAAGAAGTTTGTTTCTAGAAGAAAATTGCAATGTCCACCTTAATTAAGGCAGGTCATTACATGAATATTAAATGTCCCCAACTAAGCGAGCCAAAAGCCATGGCAACAGTGGCAAGGAACCAAAACTCCATCAAGAGACAGAATGGAGAATCCAGACTCAGTCGGGGGTCAGTTGTCCTCTGGCCAACAAAGGAACAGTGTATGATTGGGGCAGCATTAGATTGGATCGGACAGCATTTATCCATTTCATCTGTTTGGGAGACCAAGTAATCACCGGTATGGAGACGAGTTGGCACTTAAGGATGAGCTGGGATAGGTCCATATGGGGTCCCTCGGGATAAACAGAGAGACTAATGCTAGCGTAGACCCCATCCTTCTTATGATGTACCAAGTACATCAGGATTTACGGGACATGTTCCCGGTTGCGGCTGATCTAAACTATGCAGGCTAATTTTGAATTAAGGATGTCTATGTGTTATCAGTATGCTAGGCCAAAGAGATGTGTTTTTAGTCTAGATTTGAACTGACAGAGTGTGTCTGCTTCCCGGACAATGTTAGGATTATTGTTCCAGAAGTTTGGTGCTAAATAGGAAAAGGATCTTATACCGCCTGCAGTCGATTTTGATATTCTAGGTATTATCAACTGGCCAGAATTCCAAGGTCGCAATAGGCGTGAAGGACTATACTGTGTTAAGAGCTCACCCACTAGGCTGGGGGAGCTAAAACATTAGTGATTTGTAATTAATCAGCAATGTTTTAAAATGAATATGATGTTTAATAGGCAGCCAATACAGGGTTGACAGAATCGGGCTGTAGTTTGTTTATTAGAATGCAATCCATTATTTACCTCCGGCTATGCCCATCCCTATACACATAAATCACATACATCACTTAGTCCTTGGCAATATCTAAAACTTGTATTTTGTCCAAGGGGGTAATCCACCACCAGCCAGAAACTGAAGTCTCCCTTGGAGGCCGCCATTGGCTAACAAGCCTTTACCTGCTGTAAGCATTCCATTGACTCCCATTCATTTTGGAGTCACTTTGACAGCAAATAACTTTACATCTGAGGCGTTTAAAGACATTTTGTCCATTGTTTATTTCTAAAGAAAGACGACAAAGTATAAAAGGCTCCATTAGCCTATCTTACGTTATGGCCCTGTATAAGCAGTTTTCGTAAAAACAGGGTAACGATTGCGTCATAACACACATAACGACTCTGTCGCACAATATTTCTTTTTATATATGTGAAGTCTTTTGTTGCTTATTCTATTACTGAGCTTTTTCCTCCCAAAAATTTAGTTTAAAGATCAAGTAGACTAAGTGACGTTTTTTAGAAAATCCAAGAAATTATCCATTTTAAAAAATGAGCTTTAAACACAACGCAATGCATCCCGCGCCTAAACAGGAGGCCTGGTTGAATCATGCGGCACAGACCGGGGAGGGGCCAAAAACCTGTGAGTACGGATTTCGAATGCGTGGGCACGGTTTATGAATTTGTGGGAACAGATTGCAAAAACTGAACGAGAGGATTAAAAAAACATTTCATACTCATCATTAGTTTTATTGAGAGATCATGTTTATTTACAAAATATTGCATTTCAATGCTGTTTACACTAATAAGATTTATATCCTAGGCACTTGATTGAGGTTTCAAAATTATTATTTGTAGATGACAAAAACTTAAAACGATTAAACGATAACAAATTATGATTACAGTACTGACTGCATGTGGTACGGTGCAAGTGTTACACTGCATATCAAATTCAATACAGTGATTTATGACAAGGATAGAAAAATAATTGTGCTATCTAATGTCAATCTAAATCTAAATGGCCTTGTTCAGGTGCTCTTGTTTCATAAAAATCATTCATTCTATAAGAAGAAAATCTGTTTCTCTGTTTTGAAGCTTGGGGCATTGGAAATTTCAGTAAGCATTAATGAACTGGGAAAAATAAATTCCAAACATCTCACAATATAATTACTTAATGAAAAGGTGTGTTTTGGGTATGCAATCGTTTTAAGAACACATTCTGGTTTGACCTTTTATAAATGACATACGTACATCCTTGTGGAGACGACAAAGGAACAAGAGTACAAAATAGAGACACTTGGAGATCTAAAATTATTCCATAATTACACATAATATATTATGTAATTTAATCTAACAGTTTTAAATATACATCATAGCTCAATAGAGAGAACTTTCACCCATTACCTTTTCTGATTCAATGCCAGTATATGATTATTTCAAGCATACCTTCAGTATGAACAATATTGCAGTAATTGAAGGAATTGATTACAGTTGTGGCATTTTATCAGGCTTTAGAGAATCATAAAGGCAACCGAAGTGGCCATTAGGAGGTGAGAAGTATTTAAGAAAACAGACAGCATTCTTTCTATAGACTACTTAAAATCCTTCATTTCAATATTTGAAAGCTGTCATAATGGAAGCTCCTCGTAATAATTTATATCTTGAGATGTGAAGAAATATGAGGGTATATGTGCAAAGAACGAGTATGTGTGTGTGTGTGTTATTTGTGTGAATTTTAGAAATTTTGACTTAGTATGTAGACATGGTTGCATTTTTCTGTATGTGTTTGTGTGTGTGTGTTTGTAACTGACAGAAATCCTAGGGTGCTACAGTGCTCAGAGGTTTGGATGGAGGTGAACTGGTTGGGATCACACCAGTGGCAAGGAATATGATAACCAGCACAATGACGAGGACTATCACAACAATAAGCACAATCAGCTTCACGTTCTTCCACCAGTAAGCGCGAGCAACCTTCTGAGAGGTGTGCTTGAAGTTCTGGGCCTGAAAATCAGAAAACAAAGACCAGTACAATGTCAACAAGTGTGAGACTAGCTGCAAACAGTAGCCTAATTGTTTGTTATGTTAGATTGATTTCTGACGGATCATGTGAGACTGAAGACTGAAGGAAAGGCTGCTGAAAATTCAGCTTCGCCATCACAGAATTAAATTACATTTTAAAATATATTCAAATAGAAAACAGTTATTTTAAATTGTAATAGTATTTCACAATCGTACTGTTTTTACTGTATTTATTTTCTATCAAATAAATGCAGCCTTGGTGAGCGCAAGGAACTTCTTTGAAAAACATTAGATAATCTTTCTGAAGCCAAACATTTGGATTGTTTTGTGCATAGTAAAAACAATGTGCCAGGCTTAGAGCTGTAATATGTGATAAGAAACAACGTTTTTGTACTTGAAGACTCACCCCAGCTTGCAGGTCTTCAGATTTGCCCATCAGATCATCCAGTCGTTCTCCACGGGCCAGGATCCGGTCGACATTCTGGGTCATAATGTCCTTGACCCCCTCCACTTGAGACTGCAAAGATCGAACTGGATCCACCTCCTGTGAAGACTCTCCTTCTCTCGGCTCCTGCACTCAGAAGAATTAAAAACCAAAACATGATCAAACTGAGACAAGCACACAGTAATGCAAAATAACTCAGTTACGTAATAACATTGTTGTCAAAAAGAGAAATGGAAGGCAACAAAAATCTATACAATGAGATAGAAACTCATCATGATAAAGCAGTTTGAAAAGAGACTGGAACGTTTGTAAAAAGTACTGTTCTGCAACATCCAGCATTTTATCTGGCCCATAAATATAAATTATAGCATGTAAGCTTTATAGTTATGCAGAAAAAAAAATACACATACAGTATTATTTGCAAAAGCTAAAACACTCAAAAAAATACATCTGCAAGCATCCGTTATCGAGGTTCAAACTGTTAAAGGGATAGTTCACTTTTAAATTAATTTTTGGTACGTTTTAGCTCATCTCAAGGGCATCCAAGATGTAGGTCTTTGTTTTTTCCACAGTAGTTTCAATTTTAAAATGTTTAGGTCCAACCTTTCTTGTCTGTCAGTCATTTAATGCAGGTCTATGGTCACCACCTCAAAGAGCATGCACAGAGAAGTCCAAATTAAACATGATTTAATGACTTGTGAATGTAAGTACACACTGATGGCCTAAGACACGAAATGAGCAGTTTGTTTGAGAAAACAAACAGTATTTATATCGTTTTTACCTCTTGTTGTAACCACAGTCACAAAGCGCCCGCGCCCTCTCAGATCACTTGGACGTGGCTGTGGTTAGTAGTACAAGATGTAAAAACGATATAAATACTGTTCATTTTCTCAAACAAACCGCTCGTTTCGTGTCTTAGGCCATCAATGTGTACTTACATTTATGAGTCATTAAATCATGTTTAATTTGGACTTCTCTGTGCATGCTCTTTGAGTTGGTGACCATTTACCTCCATTATATGACTGACAGGCAAGAACAGTTGGACCTAAAAATATCAAAATTGAAACTACGGCAGAAACTAAGACACCTTCATCTTGGATGCCCTTGAGATAAGCTAAAACATACCAAAAATGTGAAAGAAAAAAAAAAGATATTAGCCTATGTATAATTTAGAAAGCCTGTAAGGACCTAAATCAGAGTTGATTACAGACCTTTACAAAACTAAGTTCTGAGAAGAAATTTATCTATTTTCAGATAGCATAATTTACCAAAAAAAAAAAAAAAAAAAAAAAAAATCTAGTTTCTTTAACGTTTAAAACTGTTGTAGTGCCACCTATCGTCCAATCTCCATAAAAGTTTACAGGCTTTTTTTAGAGTTATGTGTCACATGTTGTTACCAAGTTTTTTTTTAAGTTCTAATGATTCTGTTTTGGAATTAACAACCCAGTTGTAGCCATTCAAATGTTACTATGGTTTCAATAAGTATTGATCTAGACAGTTTTTTTTTTTTTTTTTTTTTTTTATAATCTCAAAGATGTAATGAATGATTTAATTGACAGCAGTGGTTGTTCAGTATGAGGAGTTTTAACATATGATATGAAAAATCATATTGCCCCACCACTGTAAGAATGTATGATTGTGTAAAATATTGCATAATATATAATGATAAACCCACAAATATGTAAGTCAAAACCCTACATTTACAATAGGAGTTCAGTGGTTCACACTTGAACCCCTAATAAAACATTATAGTGTCTTAATGACTGTTATGTACGTGTCTTGAATATATGGAGGCAGCTACATTTCATTATTCTGATTTAAGGGAATTCATGGTTCAAACAATTAAAAACATATAGTATTTGCTACAATAAAGTACTGTATCTCTATATTAAAAAAAAAAAACTTAACAATGAAAAATAACATCAAGACATCATGTATTGTAAACCATGATCAGACAGCTATTATAAAAAAAAAAAAAAAAAGCTCAGTAATGTCTTGCCTTTAGATGCTAATGATTAGGCGTGACACTTTAAGAGTGATTTTGACAAGTCAAGAGCAATATAAAAAGATAGCTTTACCACATTCACACATCAAAACACCAACTGTCAAATGCAGTGCAAGAACCTTAATAGCCATCTTTTGCACTGTTCTCAGTGTCATTTGGGCATGTTTAGTCATGCTAAACACCCCTAAGCCCTCTTGCACTACTAAAACTTCATAAACAAAGAGTGTTACCAGGAAACCAAAAGCAAAGCTGCGTCACTACCTGTCCTACCCTTTCCATTCTAGTCAATGGCTGTTCAGTTGGTATCACAAGGACTGCAGAATGGCAGAAAGCTATTAGGTGACATCAGATACTGACAGTCTGAAGTAGTACCATCATTGTGGAGAAATAGTTCCATGTGATATCTATAACTACGTGTTATGGCAACAACATAATAAATAGTAAAAATGTATGTATGATTTGATGAATCATATGATTTACCAGTGTGTATTTGTTTTGAAAGTCTCTATATAGGCTTTATAAACTGCTTTACCATTAAGATGGGAATAAATGTCCATAACTATAAGAACAACCGTCTTAAACTCGAACTTTCTTACTCTTTGTATAAAACCAAGGCAAAACGTATTCTTACTTCCTTGAGGTCTGTCTTATAATGTTTCTGACTTGTAATTTAAGAGTTATAGTTCAGTAATTCAGAATAATATCAATTAACTTTATTTGAACCACAGTGCCACATAGAAATAGGAAAATAAATATATCTGATATATCTGAAATATATGCCGTACTGTTGAAAAATTGTTAAACAAAACAAAATAAATGGTTGTCAGTCAGTTGATCAACTTGATTTGAGGCAAACTACTAGCACGAGGATCTCACACTTCAACAGTCGACAGGGGACGTGTGAAGTGATCAGCACATTTGCCAACTGTAAATTAACGTTAGTTAAAAGACATCTAAACCGAGTAATAACCATGCAAAAAGTGTCGAGCTCGACAACAGTCGGTTTGTAAACCGGTTAACGTTATGCTTCACAGCTCAAGGTAAATTCAATCCATCTATGTAAACAAATCTGTAGGCTACAACGCAAGATGCAAAACAAATTGGATAAAGCTTAAGCATCAAACTAACAGCACATTTGTTTTAGTAAACTAAAGCAAATTGTCGACGTTAACTGACAACAGGAATGTAACGTAGAAACAAACGAAGAATAACTTGAAAAACGAGCTTCGCCCTGTTTTGAGTAACTTACGTCAATTTACATCAACCGGAAAAATTAAACAAAAAAATATCAACCTGTCCTAGTGGAAACGTTTGCATCACTAAAAAAAAAAAGAAGATTTACACGAATACCGATAGTAACTGAGTTCACACAGCTAAGTTAGTCTGTTTTTAAACAAGCGACGTAACGTTAACAAGCACCTGCTTACTATCGCTCAGGTCACAACTTACCGTACTATTTGGATCACCCAGCCCCATGATTTCAATTTGATGTTTTTATTAACTCCACGAACAAACAATTACAATATCCTTTGGAATTAAAATGTTTGTAATTGTTTCTTCGAATGACCGACAGATGTACACCGTGTCAACACTTCCTGGTCTCTAATTCATTTCTTCCTCCAGCCGCGATAATTTGGCTTTGGCCCACCTCTGTAGCTCCACTTCCCATAGCATCCACCAGAGGGCGCTGGATTCATGACACATATAAACACCTGAAAGGTGAGAGCGCACACTATTATCACGCCATCCACATTTCAGGTATGAGAAGATTGTTCTGGTAAAGGCAGACAGACTCGTGGCTTTTTCTAAAATGACGGATGTGTGATTAAACTCAGTACTTTATGTAATAAATGTTTGCTTTTAACAGGCTTGACATTATTAGGGCAAAATAATTAAAAATCCTATGCACGAAACTCTTTTCTTCCGCCAAGGCAACAATTGTCTCCACCTAAATGCCTCTGGCATGACATGTATTCATTCATGTAAAACATTATACCATTCTGAAATGACCTCATACTAGACACAAAACAATATACAAACAGACGATAAAGAATAACCCAACAATACTTGAATAACTTTTATTTTTCAAAATCAGATGTAGAATATACATCTAAAAGAAACCTCAGTTATGAAATGAATTTCACAGTTTAAATAAAACATCTTTAAAAAGTGACATTGACAACAGTAACTTAACATTTACTTTTACCGAAACTGCTAAACAGATCTTAAAAGCAATCAGATTATACATGCACTGCACACTGCTGTTTTTTTTAATATATATAGTTCATGCTTGACATTTTTTCACTCAAATAATTCTAGTACAATGTTTTTAACATGATCCTGACATCATCTTTCTCTCAAAAATATTGTTTTGGCCCCACATGGGTATTTTACAAATTGGATTTACATTTTAGTTAAAAAAAGAAGAAGAGTTTTTGTACAAAAGATTTGTATCAATTTTCAGTGGCCTTGTTTAATGATGATATCGGTCATGCAGTCAATCTTGTGCAGCTCCAAGTTCTGTTGATAAAAGAAGAGCTTTTAGAGATTTACAGCAACCAAATGTTCTGATGCGCCATTATTACAAATAATTTTGCATGCAAGTTACAAAATATACAGAGCATACTAATGCAAAACAAGTAGATCTTTAAACATTATAAACAACATGCTAATACAGAAATTTAAACAAATGTCCATCTACAGTAGTTTTTGTAATCATATAGCAGAAAGTAGTACTCACTTTCTCGTTAGCCAAGTGCAGAAGGGCCACAAAAGCCAACGGTACTGAGAGATTGGTAGCCATGGTGGAGGGAAGCCTGGTGGGACAGGAAAGAGAAATTTATGTACAGTATATGCATGAGAAATGTCAATCCATAGACTATTAGATACATACAGTGCTTAAAAACTGTACCTTTGTACAAGATTCCTGATAGACTGGCTGAATGATTTTTCTCCAGGTACTTCTGTGGTCTCCTCCTCACACTCCACATGCTGTAAATGGTAAAAGAAATAAGTCATGAAAAGTCATTTATTTTAATCAAATGACCACAAGCAATGCTGAACAACAAAGCAGAAAAAAATTTGGGTGTGGTTTTTGAAAATGCCAAAACGAGTTTTATCCAACCAAGAATGATCTCCAAGATTAAAGGTTCATTCACACCAACAACTGTAAAGATCAACAACAAGATCGTTGCACTGGTTAACAGTTAATTTCAAGATTTGTCAATTTTTGTTTTAAAAACTTTGGTAAAGCCCCTTTCGTATATTGCTAGCCTGATTCACGTTCACAAGTCAAAGAGATTAAGATCTCATATGGAAAAACTTCTACATGTTCTTAGGTTTAAACCAGAGGTGAGTGTGCTTTTTGTGGTTAGCTGCCCCAAGGCTATTGAACATATTAGATAATCATCAACTTTGAGTACATTTAAAAACATATTTTTACATTAGCTTTTGATCATGTATGAGTGACAAGGCATTGTTGCCACAGGTAGTGGCCTTTGTTTTTTTTTCTTCTAAATTTGTTGTTTTTATTTTATTATTTCAGTATATTGTACAGCACTGTGTTTAACACTGTTGTTTTATTATGTGCTTTATAAATGAATTGTAATATTGAAAATACTAATTATCGGCCCTGCCTTCAGTGATCAGAATGACAAAATTTTTGTAGCAGAAAAGAAAACTTAGTTTTGTGAGAGAGGATTACTGTTTGATTACTAAAATGTGTTTACTAGATAGAAGGGAGATTACTACTACACCAAGTTTAGTATACAAACGGTAACTTCTAAGCTTACCCATAAATATGCTGAAAAAAGGAAATAAAAGAGCTTTACTAAGGTCAGAAAGATACGGTTACAAACCTTATCTGGTTTTTCAGGACTTTCTGTTAGGAGACCCCACATAGTGGTCTTCAGCTTCTTCATGTCCATCTTCTTGGCCGTTTTGGCATAGTTTATCTCAATAATGTTTATCTAGATGAGCAAACAATTCATGAGTTATCTATACAAAACTACTGAAATAAAAACTAATAATAACTGACAAATAACAGAAAGAAAATCTCACTACATGATCAGTGTGTAGCATAGTAACCCAATATCGGTCCTCTCATCTTACCTTGTGAGGCTCAGGGACAAGACAATCCTCTCCGTATGTAGAGATGTCATCTGTGTCTAGAGAGAAAGGGGTTGGTCTGTCTGTTTGGGAGTCATCAGATCCTCCAAAGCCTTCAGCATCCTCACTGTCCCCTTCCTATTCACAGAAACCACTAACAGTTAACAAGTCTCCATCCCAACCTATGACACGTAACAGTAGTGTTTAGTGTACCTGAAGACCAGGACAGAAGTTGGCTGTGTCATTAGCGTTGTTGTAATCATACTCTCCTATGTCCCCACCCAGCTCTCCCGATAATCTCTTCTTTCCTTCTGCACTGAACTAAAGTGAGAAAAGAAATTGGTCAAATTTGTAAAATGAACAAAGCAAACCAATCCAGCAGTCAATCTCTTGTACAGCATTATTCTAATGATGTTGTAGATTAGCCACAACCAAAATGCTGAGGTGCACAGTAATGCAGACAGGAATATTAAACATTCATGCTCTTACTGTGTTGGTGGGTTTGAGGCTGAGTTGTGACAGGTTACTGGGCGGATACTGGAAGTCTGCTGGAAGTGTGGTTTTCTTATTGCTGCTGTTCAAAGCCGATTTACTGATAGTGGTTGCTGCCTAGAAATAAGTAGTTATTTGTCAAATTGTCCCCAATTAATCTGCTGCTGACTTGTCAAGGTTTTAAAATTCTTGGTAGAGGGATTTAAAAAAAAAAAAAAAAAAAGAAGCATTTGTCCATTACGGAAGTCATGAAAATGAAGTAGTAAACAGGAACTTACTCTTGTTGTTCGAAAGTAATTGTGAAAGTTGATATCTCCTTTAAAGTCAATAATAAGAGGATTTTTTGGCGCTCGTTTCCGTGGTTCTTTGTCTGGTTTGTGATCCTCTACAAAGGACAAATGAGAAATTTAATAGGACAACCACTAAGAACAATAGAGAATGCAATATTAAAAATTAAATTAAGAAAGCATTAAAAAAAAAAAAAATCTATGACTTACGCTTATGTCCAGGTTTGAAAAGCCAGTAGCCGGGTCCGACCCAAGTGGCCATGGTCCTGGGACTGAAGTACGAGTACTCTCTGGGCTGATCAGACAACTGCAGACACATGGTGGTAATATCCACCTCGCCAATAGGAATAACACCTCTGTTAATAACCCAAATACACCTCATAGTGAATGGACATCCAATAATAGCAAAGAATTTTTTTTATTCAGAGACATAAAATATAACACAAAATATAGCAGCTAGCTAATACATTTCGCAAGTACGAACCGTCTTTCTTTCTGGGGGCTCTTTGAACAAGCCTCTCTGTGTTCCTTAAACTCCTCACAGTCTCCTGGCCTGCCCTCATCCACGTCTGCATCAAAATGATCCCCAAAATCTGGACAGTCGTCATCATCATCTGGCTCGATGTCTGCATTGACGTCGAATGCATGCTCTCCTTGCTTCATCTTTTCAAGCAACTGGTTGAGGTTTGTGGTCTATATTGACAACATGAAAGATCACATCACATCAATATAAAACACACTTAATATTGCACTCATGATACTGTTGAAAAGGGGCTGTTGCTACTGTTGTATTATTTAATTCAGCAAGAGTACATGAAATTTTTTGCCATTTGTGTATAAAGTGTTTTAATTCTACAATATATGGTGTAAAAACATCTGAGTGCGGCCCGGTGGCTACTGCAGTTGAATTTTCCTATTGGATGTTTGTGGTGGTATGTGACGTAAGTGGTTGCAGGTGACGCAAGCAGGTTCAAGCTCTCCAAGCCCTTGGTACGAGCTACCACTCCCTTAGCAGCATAATAACCATCTTGTTTCGTCAAAACCACTGTAGTAAGTCAGGAGTTGGTATTGCGAGTATTGAAAACGATCAGGAAAGAGTATTTTAGCATCTCTTTAGCATAACATTTATATAGTCATTTATATTGCTTTGTGTAGACTAGGTAGTTAATTAGCATAGTTGTTAGTGTAGTATTGTAGGAAGCATAGTTAGTTAGTAGCATAGTATTGAATCAGTTAGGATAGCTTCAAGTTATGAATCTATCCCTGTGTCCACAGGCAATTCAACATCCTCCACTTCAGGTGAAGGTGGGGGAGAAAAGTCCTCGACTTCAAATGACCGGTCTGTTGCAAAGCTACTTGTGTCACTCCAGTCACTCTCCATTTTAGAGTCTGACAGCAGCTGTCAAATAATCTGTCATCAAAAATAGTCTCACCTGCTCCGGAGTCCATCTAGTAAAAGAGAAATCCTCTAAGGATGGACAAATTGGCCTGTCCTCTAGTGTCTTCAGATGACCTGGAAGAATCAAAAAGGTATGATTCAATGGACTCACATTGTTAAATGACTGTAACTCACAATACATGGAGAAACATTAAGGTTCTGAATACTGAATAATGCTCAGTGAGCCCAAGAGTAAACTGTCCTGTTTAACTTGGAACAGAGTGTGATGTGCAAAGCCGGTTTACCTGTAAATGGTGAGGCAGGAACATTCTGATGGGGCATCTGCACAGGAGGTGGCTGTGTCTT